GCTTAGAGAACACATGAGATAACTTTGGATTATAGTTTGGCATCAATCTATGCCTAAAGCAGAGTTTCCTTAAAATTATATTAAAGATTAAATCAAGCGCTTGATTTGCTATTGCTCAGCTTATGATTCATAGTATGTGTATTAATAAATTTACTAAAATTATGTATCTACCAATTTATCACTCATGCTATAAAACTTATATTATCTCCTTAAAAGAATATATTTGTGAGTCTTTAGGAAGTAAAAGGTGACATCAAATCACGAGGTGGAAAGTAGTAATATGGAAGTATTTTTTGTTTGGGTATTTTTTTTTATTCCAAAGTTTCTCAGATATGCTCAGTAACCACGTGTGGCACTTATAAAGCTAAAAAAAAATGTAAAGTAATGCAAACAAAATTATAAACCAGTTGCGTTACGACAGGCGATTGAGTGATTATGGTGATGGTGTGGTTTGCTCTTGACAGTGTGGAGCAAATGCGTCACAACCTGCTTCTATATTCATATATATCACCTGTAATGACCCAATTCTTCACATCTTTTTATTTTTTGAACTTCCGTGGAATCATTCTGACATAAATATAAACTTATTTTTCAACTATTTTGTTAAATATTGATGCCCACTCAAACTAAAACCTTGTTGTTCAACTTTGTTTTTAACCCTCAAAAAACTGTTTTCATAGATTTGGGAAAAAAGAAAAAAACAGGTAATACCAAATAGGAAGACAAGTTGATAAAATATTCTCCCTCTCTGCTGGTTGTACGCTTCTGTAGTGTGTTGCTACGTGCTCGGCTTTAGAGCGGAGCCTAGAAAGTCTGGAAAGGAGAGCAAACATATTTTAAGTACAGTCAGCCTTCTTGCAGGTTCCACACCCATGGATACAATGAACCTCGAATGGAAAATATATATATTTTTTAATCCAGAAAGTTCCAAAAGCCAAAACTTGAACTTGCCAGGCCATGGCAAATATTTACATAACATTTGCATCGCATTGGGTGTTAGACGTCATCTAGAGATGATTTAAAGTATGGGGTGTGCATCAGTTATGTGCAAAAACTAGGCCGTTCTGTAGAAGGGACTTGAGCATCTGCGGATTTCAGTAACCTGGGAGGCAGCGGGGGTCCTGGAACGTGTCCCTCTCAGATACTGAGGGAGAGCTGTATCTGTCCTGAATGTGCTGTAGGATCATTTCGAGCTGCCTGTGAACACGTTCAGTCCATGGGAACAGGAACAGGAAAGACAGATCACAGATCTATCTGTAAACTGCCCAAACTACGCTAATTCATTTGTAAAAATGTAAAAAATAATATATTAACTTTTGAAAAAGAAGAACTCCTTAAACAAGAAAAGATGGATTTTTTAAGATTCACAGGTTCATAGACAAAGAGAAATTAGTGGAAGATCTGTTTAAGACAGCATCACAAAAGACAGGGGAAATACGAAGATGAAGGAGAGATTCTGTGCCTGGTACAGGATGTCAAGCCTTTCCACAGATCACACTGATGTGGAGTCAGCAGAGTGTGCCTGGGCTGCCTGTGGTTTTCACACTCTTGGATTTATCAGAGATTAGCAATAGAGGAATTCTTGTTTGAAAACCAGATCTAATTACAGGCAACCACAGATGATTGAGAAAAAAAAGAAGATATAAAAAAGTGGTGGTGTTAGTACTTTGCAAAAATTAAATCCATGTAAACATGCGTGGTAATTAGCCAGATGATACACAGTGTTGGTGAGCACACAGGGAAGTGGAATGATCAGCTCTGATCTTAGCGGGTGTGAGATCTGGGGAAAAAGGAGGGTCTGGGGAACTTGGAAGCACTGACAGGATTTTCCTCGCCATCTCCAGGCAAAGCAGATGTACCCAAACAGCCATACTGCAGCATTTTGTATTTCAAATTAAGTTACCCATAAATGTGGATTCTTTTTCCTTCAGGTTCAGGCATGAGAGAATATTAAGTATTCATTTAAAGAATTCTGTTGCTTTGTCAGACCCTGGCTGAATTCTGGCTCCATGACTTATTTAAGAACTTGGACAGGATTACTCTTGTTTTGTTTATAATTTCACTATGCTAATATGATATAACAATAATAACAGTATCGATTTCTTTGTGTGTTTGTGAATATGAAAAGATTTATTACACATTAACACATAATAAATATTCAAGGCACAGTTATTATTAAATGCACTCCTGAAAATTGTAGCTTCCATTAATAGTTTGCAATAATCAAATAATCAAATCTCTATAGAAAATTTCTTTCTGTTTCTCTCTCTGACACACACAAATACAAATCTACACACAGATAACATTTATGAAATACTTAATGTTAATTCATGTTAATGTTAATGATAAAGAATAAATGTAAATAAAATTCAAGATGCAACCTTCATTTTCCAGTTCCAGATCGGTGCATTTGTGTACCACCTCAGAATGAAGAGAAGTGTTCCCAGAAAGAATGCAGAATTAAAAAGTGGAGGCTGTAGAAGAGATGGCAAACATCATCAACTAGGCAAAAGAGAAACTGGAAGGACACAGGAGAAGTTTTCCTTAAATGTTTACATTAGGAAACAAGAAGCAATTAATTTCTTTCTTCAGAAATGACCCTGGGGAAAGTACATCTCCAGAGGAACACATACTGATGAGATTTGTGGGTTGTTTTTTTTAATATACAATTTGCACAATTTTATTTTTCCCCAAACTCAAACTCAAGTTATTTTGAAAGTGTTCTGGGATCAAATGACATAACTTGCTTTGGGTTTGCATCACACTAAACCTGGTGATGGTGTCACTCAACCTGCATAAGCCAGTCCCGTGTTCCGTACTTCACGGTCTGTGTGACTCAGCTTTTCCAGTGAAAGATGAAACAAGTATGAGTCCCTGTAACTAGAATTATGACCTAGCACACAACTGCATGGCTCAGCTCTAAGCCACCTGCAGAGGTGTTTTGCTTATCATCTCAATGAAATCTACCTTCATTCCCATGCCTAAATTAGAAGCACTCTTTTGCTCCTTTATATCACAATATTTTTTTCCAGATTTCACCATAACATATCTAACATACTATATAATTTATTTATATATTATGCTAATTGTTTACATATGTCTCACACCAGTAGACTCATGAGATCAAGAATTT